CACCACATTCGCGACCAGGTGACAGCTGCTGCCGAGGAGACCATCGGGCGCGCAAACTGTAAGCGGCCTGATTGGTTTGATGACAACAATGTGACGATTGACGCATTGGTGTCGGAGAAGAATGCAGCATTTACTGCACATGTTGCAGACCCCAGTGACTTGGGGAAGAGTAGTCAGTTTCGCAAACTTCGACGGCGACTGACCCGAGAGCTCCGTCGCATTAAAAATGCATGGTGGACGGAGAAGGCGAAGCAGATGGAATGCTACGCCGAACGTCGTCAACACAAGGAATTCTTTGACTCCTTGAAGGCGGTGTATGGACCGAGATTGGAGCCGCTGAGGACACTGATCGATGGTAGTTCAGGCGCTACCTGCACCCAGACTGCAGACATAATGCAGGTCTGGCGGAAACACTTTGACACTCTCTTGAACAACCGTTCAGAGATCGACTGGCCTACATTGAATGGCCTGAAGCAGCACGATGTGAAGGCGGATCTGGCGGATACGCCGAGACTGGATGAGACGCAGAGAGCACTTGCTCAGCTGCGAAACGGCAAATGTGCCGGAGGTGACGGGATCCCACCTGAAGTATTGAAACACGGTGGACCCGCGTTGTTGACTGCGCTGCACCACTTGGTGCAACGCGTGTGGATTGAGGAGGAGGTGCCTGCTGAGCTGAAGGATGCCCTTGTGCTACCACTGTACAAGGGCAAAGGTAGCAAGCAATGTTGCACGAATTATCGTGGCATCAACTTGCTGAGTTGTGTGGGCAAGGTGATTGCCCGAATCCTGCTCAATCGCCTCGTGAGTCAGATTGTGGAACCAAACGTGGCGGAAGAGCAATGTGGATTCCGTTCGGGTCGCAGCACTAGAGATATGGTGTTTGCGGCTCGTCAGTTGCAAGAGAAGTGCAGAGAACGACACCAGCCTTTGTACTCGCTTTTTGTTGATTTCACCAAGGCATTTGATACGGTGAACCGCGAGGCACTGTGGCTGGTGTTGGGTAAGTTTGGTTGCCCGCGTAAGTTTGTAAGTTTAATTGAATGTCTGCACAGTGGTATGTGAGCGAGGGTGCAGCTGAGTGGAGAGACCTCTGATGACTTTGCAGTTGTCTCTGGTGTGAAGCAAGGCTGTGTGTTAGCTCCTGCCCTGTTTAATATCTATCTTCATGCAATGTTGTCTTGTGCTTTTGATGCGGCTTGTGCTTACGGTGTTCGTGTGGAGCACCGTATTGATGGTGGGTTGCTGAACATCCGTCGTTTCGGTGCGAGAACTCTAGTCTGTGAGACAACTATCCGTATGTTGCTGTTTGCTGACGACTGTGCGTTGTTGCACACAGCGCGGATGAGTTGCAGCACATGACTAGTGCTCTGGCTTCGACAGCGGCCAAATTCGGGCTCACCATCAACACAAGCAAAACTGTCTGTCTCTTTCAGCCTTCACCGGAGGTGCAATCTTCAATATTGCCGCAAATCAGCATTGGTGCTGAAGCATTGGAAACCACCTCCCGCTTCAGCTACCTTGGGAGTGTGATGTCGACTGATCAGCAGCTACACTTTGAGTTGCGTATTCGCGTGTCGAAGGCGGCAGCGGCATTCGGGAAGCTAGAGTACCGAGTGTGGAACAACCATCAGCTTAGCATTGGCACGAAGCTGATGGTGTACAAATCCATGGTACTGTCCGTTCTTCTAGACGGCAGTGAAACGTGGACGATGTACCGTCGGGATGTGCGATATCTCGAGCGGTTCCATCAGCAGTGTCTGCGACGAATTTTGCGGATCGGCTGGGGCGCCAGAGTTGCAGACACGGAAGTGTTGCGCCGAAGTGGGATGTATGCAGTGGACTGCATACTTTTATTGAGACACCTGAGATGGCTCGGTCATGTGAGCCGTATGGATTCGACGCGGATACCGAAACAACTCCTATACGGTCAGCTGAGTATTGGGAAGCGGCACGTGGGGAAACCAAAGTTACGTTACCAGGACATGATTAAAGTGAGCCTCACACGTTCTAATCTTGATTGCAGATCATGGGAATCGAAGGCGGTTGATCGGCGTGCATGGCGCGATCTAATCACGAAGGCAGTTGCTGAAGTGCGGGAGAAATCCCTCATGCATGCAGAGAAGAAGCGGCAGTTGCGGAAGCGGCAAGCACCGATGGATTGTACTCCATCGACATCGAGCGCATGGTGCTGTAAAACATGCGGTCGCGAGGGCCTTAGTCAGGCAGGCCTAGTGAGCCATGAGAGAGGTCACTCGGGACCACTGCCGAAGCGACGACGGGTCCCGCAGTGAACATAGGCAGCACCGGCGCAGCGTTTGTAGGCACGCTGAATTCGATTTACTAACCGCATGGTTGCATGCTAAGTCTCTTTATTTCAGGTGGTGGGTTTTCGGTTCTCTCCTAATGCCTTTCTTTCTCATATAAATGTCTAGTGGGCCATGCGCTGTGCCATTTGGGGCCACTACAGAAGCGACGATGGGTCCTGCAGAGAATTACGACGAGCCGGCGCAGCGTTTGTAGGCACGCTGAATTCGATTTACTAACCGCGTGCTTGCATGCTAAGTCTCTTTATTTCAGGTGGTGGGTTTACAGTTTTTACCTTTATGCTTTTCTTTCTCATATAAATATCTCCCTGTACTCTATTCCATTAACTTGCACACATCGCTTCAGCCAATTGTATTCGATTTCCATAACATTTTTGTGTTCGTGGCATACCGTGAACTATACTTCCTGACCTCGTGCACTTAGCTGGGATTTGTTTGTAAACAACTTATTACGTATGCTATTTAATTAAGGTTTATGTCACCGTTTCCTTATGCATTAATCGAGTTTTTCTCTTTTTCTTTTCTTTTCTTTCTCTCTCTCTCAAGTGATTGGCTGTTGTTTGATATCCCCGGTGTGGCTGCGCTTGATGTGCATGTTGACAAGGTGCCTACCTGTCTATTACCCACTACCTCGTCCATACTGGCTCCAGGAGACAGTTGGTCGTTGCTGGAGGGGACGGGGTGCACGGTACTTGTGGCCGTGCTAGGCTCAAAGAGCGGTTCCATGCACTCAGTGTGGAGCGGACTACGGTCCAGCCACCGCCTTGTGTGCGGTTGATTCCCCAAATACAGCGTGCTTGTGTTTGCCTGTGAAGGAGTGTGGGCCGGCTCCGTTGATGAAACGTGGTTCCCATCGCATGCCTCCCGGTCTTATTCCTTCGGGTTTACACTGGATATGGGGTATGTTGTTGGAGCTGTGGGTGGTGCAGCGCAAGCCATCCATGGTCCCTCTGTAGGCGCAGGCGTCCTGTGGCTTGCCACAGTGACAGGCAAATCCGAAACCGGATGCCGCCAACCATACATATATATATATATATATATATATATATATGGGTCATAAAGACCCAAGGCCAAGACCCCAAGGCAGCGGGGCGATTGACTTAAATCGCAAGCCGTGTGGAGCCTGCTAGCAAGGTGAGGGCAACGTGGCTTCCGAGTAGGACGCCCAAGGAGCGCCAGTAATGCAGCACGGAAGACAAGAAAAATTCCCTGAACCACCGAACTTGCCGGCGAAGAAAAAGACCATTGACCGCCATGTGGATCATGCATCTTCATGGAAGCCGGTGGTATCTAGTGAGGAACTAGCAAAGAACCCTCCATGCTCTAGGACGCTACCGCTGAGTGTCCACGACTGTTTATTCATCTTGCACGAAAAAATCCGGAGGCTTATTCAGTTACCTTCGTAAAGTGTTCCCCTACCCGCAACCTGGGGAGGCGCCCAGCTCAGCCGAACCAACCAGTGGTCAGTTCGATTCGGTGGCAGGAGGATAAATCAGTAGTTTTTGCATAAGCGGCTATTTCATGGATCAGGTGACCCTGTTGATTAGCTTCAGAACACTAACCTGGATGTGCTTTGTTCAATTTCGGTTAACCAAAAGTTCTGGTCACGTAACTGAGAAACCTCGACAACACAGAAATCTGGTATAAACATCATTGGACGAAAAAAGCATTGCCCAATGGATCAACTCATGAACTGATGCTAGCTCGAACGCTTTTCGGTTATGCACTCATAGCCACGGGGGCAACAATTATTGCTCTTTCTGTAGCTTTATCTAACACAACTGTATCAAGCTGAAATTTTGATCTTCGGGCGCGAGCTATCGGTCATCAAGGGGATATTCGATTCAGTTCCTGAGGGGAACCGGTCCGGAGGCTATATTCGCCGAATTCAGACGATCACCAGTAATAGGCGCTCACAACAACGAACCAAACTTCTTCATGGATATTTCACGAAGAACCCTGATCCAAGACGTAAACCACCAAAGGATCAGTTAGCATTCCAAGTGAAAGGTGTGCTTTTAAGCGATTGCTTAACTCGTTAGACTAGTCGACTTTTGGGCGATTCAGAGCAGTCACCTAATTCTCGTTTCTATATGTTATTCACTTGGATGTCCGGCACTTGTCGCTTGCACTTCAAATTCAATTTCTCTATGAAGTGTGATGACGATATACTTGGCGGGTAATTTGAGGCGAAAGCTATCAAAGGGTGATAAAAATCTATCGATCATACAAAGCCGGAGGGGACTGTTCCCAAGCCGTTTTTGAAGATGAGCATACATTGCAGCCAATCAAGCAGACGATTAAAACATTATTGAGATGAAAACTGCTGGTAGGTGACAGCCTATCAGTTGTGTTAGGAAGAATTTGCGCGTAAAGTGTTTAACTGGCTAGATTGTCATGTACCGCGACGGCCCCGCTAAGATGCGCTCCTAATAGGATCCGCGAAACAGTGATTCATAGTATCTTCGGGGAGGGGCAGAAACTACGGCACACTGAGTATGCGTTCAGAGCCGGAGATTTGCGCTCACATACGTCATAGCTACTGAGATTTGCCATGCGAATCCTCAGACGGTCACCAAATCTCATGAATCACCAGTTGTTCCCAGACAAGTCCCGTTGAGTCTCCAAGTACGTATCTATGAAGTACAAGCAGAACACAAGAGGTGAGGAACATCATACTATTGCTTGACAGTGTTCATGTTGAGGCTCTACCGAACGACTGTCATCTTTTCGCAGAAGGGGATAGCTACGCCACAACGGCAAGCTCACATCTTGTCCCAACAACTGTTTGCACCGTCCACAAGGAGCTGTGAATAAATCGTGATAAGAATGAAGCCAGCTAAACAGGCCTCTCATAGCAGATGGTGGTTGATATTCGTTCGAGAAGTGTAATATGGCGCACTGTGCTAAAAAGGTAATGCGCTGGAACAACGTGAATCGGCTGGGTGTAACCAGATCTAATTGATGCATCTGGACTGAACTGATGAGGACGGGGCGAGGAGTGGGTTGAAATGGTGCGCCGCCTCGCCTGCTTCGCATTTCGGATGAGATAGAGGGCCTTTGGACGTCAGGGGCAAGAAGCGAAACTAATTGATCCCTCGGGGCGCCCAAGTAATCGGACCTGAAGCTTAGCATTTCTTCTACGGGTTTCGAAACTGCTCCGGATTCCGATTTTGATGAGTCCGATACTGACGATGGGAGCATATTCGTCTTCACCAACATGCGCTCGCTTATAGCACGCACAATCACGCGCTCCGGGTGGATCCGACGGAAGGTAACGAAGCATTGCATTACGTCACCCACCTAAATAAAAGAGAATATGATAGATGTGGATTTAGGGCACTGAGTACAAAGATGTGACTGTATGAAGGGGACCCGCCAGCGCAGGAAAGTTATAATCGATGAAAACCCATAAAGTCAAAAGAGTGTATATTTCGCCAGTGAAGTATTTAATCATCATCACAACCAGCACCACCAACAGCAGTACATCAGCCATTTGAACCGATACTTCGCTGTCGTACAAATACGATGGTCTACGGAACGAGGAATAATAACGGAGAGAAGGATCTAACGTAAAACCTAAATACACTAGGCAAACAATCAGGAGCAGGGGGCCTTCACCTTGTCAACAATATACCGTCACAAAGACCTGATTATAGTGCAAAGAAGAGGCATCGGCTAGATAGCCGCTGCGCGTCATAAGCAGCCATTACCCCGCAGATAAGTCGGCACCAAACAAACTTCAAAAGGGGCAGTCTGAGAACGAGACCACAGCGAACGCGCCGCTGACTGCTAGCTATGTCCTGTAAACTTTTGAGACAAGCAAAAGGCGGGTCTCATGGTCTTCAGCCTGGAAGTTGAAGCGAACCGATGGCATTGAGTTGGGTCGTCAGTAACTTCATTTGCCGCTGCCAAGCTATCTTTCGTCCACCCTACATCGGTAAGCGACGATCGGGCATACGTAGCATGTGGCTAAGCTAACGCATATTATTCAGTGCAAACAGTCGTTCCAAGGAACTAGTTAGTTTATCACTGCCTAGCACTCGCCTGTGCACATCATCGTTGTGGACACGCTAGTGTCATCCGACAAAAGTAATGCTTCGCAGACACCGATGATCAAAGACTTGAAGATGCTTCAGACCCTCAGATCGGAGGAGCTAAGTCTCACTACCATAGAGCAGGATGGCTCTCTGTGACCTTGTAATCACGGCCCTTCAGACCGAGGGAAATCAGTTTCTGACACCACAGATATCGCAGATTCAGGAAGGTAGTTCTGGCTTTTACAATACGTGAATTGACTTCAGTCTTCACGCGCCCATCGTGACTGATGCAGCTGCCAACGTAAGTGAATTCATCAACTACCTCGAACTCTTTGGCATCAAGGGTGGAGGGACCATCATGTGACTGGTGCTCCTGTTACAGCACAGCATATCAAAGGTGTGAAGCGTATGTCAAATGAGGGGAGCACTCTGGAGAGGTTATTTAGGGATGACTGGACTACCCCACCAAGAAAATATCGCCCGCATAAGCAAGATCAACAGGTTCTTCTCCAGGTAGTACCTCAATGCGTGCATCGCGAGATTCCGCAAGGGAGACCGCGACAAAGTTGAACAACAGTGAGGAACGACACTTGTCAGAAAGATCCGACAAGTCACAGTAGACCATAACGCATCCAGTGGTGTTCGAGTACAATGCACTTCAACTATTCACGCATTTCGTATCAACAGCTTTTCGCACAAGTATGTCGAGCAAAATGGATGGATCAACTGAGTTGAACACAGCTACTGTCAGTCTGCAGTACCTATGGCGCTGTTATGACACGTGCTGCACAGTGTGTTTTATGTGGTCTATGTAGCCTCGCTCTGGGTTGAAACTTGACTGCTCTTCCCTAATCCAGAATTCTCCCTCCGCAGTGAGGCGACGAACGAGAATTATAGCCAGTAATTTTGTCACGACCGGCCTTAGGCTAACACCCCTGTGGTTAGCGTATTCAGTGCAACTTCTCTTCTTGTTCCTTGTCACTGTGATCCATTCACTCCAGTTAGCTGCGATAATCTCCTTGTATGCCTGTTCAAGCAGGTTAGCCAGTGCATTACAGAGGAGCGGGTTTAAGGTAATCCGGACGAAAAACTGGAAAACGATTGAGGATCTTGATCGTGTTTCGGACCTCAGACCCCGCTTTATCCTCTAAAGTAACCGGCCATGGCCTGGCCTGTATCGCCTGAGAAGGAAGAGGTCCTGGATCGGCGGGCTAACTGAGCTGCTCTCGAAAGTGCTCTACCCAACAAGCCACTGGTGTGGATCAGATGAAAGAGCTTGAGATAATTGCCAACTGCACCAGCCTCCTCCATTTCTTGAGCCCTACTGGTATACCAGGCCTCCTTGTAAGCACGCACGATCTGCGTTCGCACTTGATGGTCTGTCTGATTACATTGTGCTCAGAGCCATCCGGAAGCTTTCTTCTGGATTTCAACAAATTCACAAATCTACCACATATACAGTGACTGGTGCAGAGACGACGGATAGTGCTGTATACAGAGGCACCGGCGTCGGGTACGACGGTCGAGGTTCTATTCCGAAAAAGCACGTGTTCTTAGAGTGAGAGGGCAAATGTTCGGTACGCACGGCATACTTGTAGGTTTGCCTGACTGAAGAATGAAATAATTTCTAAAATACCAATCGAGGAGACGCTTGCTACTCTTCTCGGTAAAGTTCATGAAAAAACGACAATCTACCAAAGCATGATCAGAGTCAACAAACGTATGCCGGTACGATTAACAATCCAGCCTGGAACCATACCATATGCAACTTGTGGTGACGCGACCTATTCGTTGCTGAACTTCAGTCACTGGTTGGATGGGACAACGGAGTGCGTATTTGACCGTCACTCATTCTCGGTGCCCAAGTGAAACTCCGTTTACTTCAGAATTGCAATGAGTTACCGTCTAACGAGGTTCATGTTAAAACCCTCTGTCTAATCTGAAAGACAAATCTGATAAGCAGATATCTTAGAGATCAAGTGATCCCCAGTTTGGTGATGTTTGAGGAGAGAACCTGTAGAACCATTGGTAGAAATCGTCGAAGAGCTACCTGACATGAGTACGGGAGGAATGCAAGGAACAGGGATACACCATTCTTACAACTTACTCTAACGTGGACCACAGATACGCTTGATACCGAGTGAGTCATTGTTATGGTCAACTTGGGACATGAGCAGTGGATGTCATTCAATAGTTGTTCCAAATCCGTGCGGATATCTTTGGCACTGCTTGTCATGTAGTCCAGACGGTGTCGGTTAAGGTCCGAACGTAGGTGTGATCTGTGCAAAAATTGATTCAAACGTAGAGGAAAAAATTCGTAAGTACTGTGGCTCAGGCAAAGAGCATTAAAAGATCAGTGGAATCATTCTGCTCTACAAATTGCATGGTTAATAGGCCGTAAGGAATAGCCAATGTCATCATCAGCAGCAGCATCAATACACGTTAGTTGAGGGTGAGAAACACGCCTCAATTGAATATATTATTAATTTACTATGAGATGTTGATTAGAGGCGCAATCTAAAGGAGAAAGGGATGAACAAGGAAACACAACACAAACGCCATTGGGGTCTGATCTTAGCCATGTCAGTGAGTGTATCCAACCAAACGTGTTCATCGTTCTTCGGACCTCAACCCGGCAGTCGGGATGCACCAACCGACGCCAATTTCAAAGTGATGGTTTTCTTTCCTCTTAATCAAGTCATTGCGTGGCATCTACTCCTTCTCTTCCTTCCAGAATAGCCAATGTAGTCAAACAAAATTACATACCCAAATTTATGCCAGAAGAAACGAAAGATAAAGTTACAACGTGAAATCAGCAGTACAGGAAAAACCGTTCCCGTGAACATGGGTAATGTTAACTATGAAGCTTATTAAGCATGCTCGGGTCGTCTGAGCAAGTACATTTAGTTCTTTGTGGCATGCGGAACCGCAGAATCACGAGAAGCAGCGAGGGTTATACGAGATAAAAGGACCTTAAACAATAAAGAAGAGGAAATTTGGAGGTCAACGCCCTGTATCAAATGAAGCATAGGTGGACATGAGGAATTCCCGGAAAGGCGTTCCTCCGACGAGGAAATCAGATGTAGAAGTGACATGTCTTCGGTGGGTTACGATGATAAAGCATTGCAGCGAATATAAACAGACTAATGGACAATGGATACCACAACTTGTTTGGTGAAAAATCGGAACTGGATTTTCCCGTGGAATATTAGCCAGATGGAAGAGCTCCATCATGCCAGGTAGGATTTCTGACAACTGATTCCAAGGTCTTCATCAACACAGAGGATACATAACAAACCGAACTAGTCTTTTAATAGGACTCTAAATAACTGTTCCAAAACATCGAGGAGTCACTCAGCGATTTCACCCAGCTGAGTATACCAGTGATGGACAACGTACGTCGAGGCAGACGGCATGCAGGCACCCAAACGGTATGACGTAGCTATTGCAGGGGGTTCGAGTTCAACAAACGTTCCAACGCAGTACCAGAAGGCCTGCCGCCAGATACAAAGTGACGAACTTCAGCATCGAACGTACAGTGCTCCCATCACATGCTTCGCAAGGCATCGGCAGTCCAACATAATCAGTCATTGCCTTACACGCCCGGTCGCCAGGTCTCTGAACCATACAGTCATGTAGATCACACCGCAGGACTGTAAAGATTTCATGTGACCGATGCCATCATATCTTGCCATCTCCATAAGCGGATAAGGCTTGTGAAATAAACACGAGCCCCAACAGCGTGTGGAGTGACTTCTTGGATGACCAGATTACCAAAGATGGAGCATCTACAGGTACAATTAAACGTATCAACGCCTTTAGTGCGATTATTCGATGAACAGGATAACTAGTAATGTGCCATCCAAAATCAAATTATAATAGTAGTTTTTGCTCTCAAGATGAAAAACACAAATCAAAGATGGTGGGCCAGAAGCAGAGAATACTCTACTGACGGCAGGATACAAGCAATAAGAAAGCCAGACGGTAATGGGCCAACAACGAACTATACCAACACCCCAGAAGAAGGAGGACATTTGGGAGCCATAGATATATGTGCAATAAGAAGGGAACCAAAAGCAGCGCACACCAGGCAGCCTCCAGAAGAGAGTTTGGAGATAAATGGAGTGGTTGGCGGTCAGAGCTGATATTTACTATAATAAATAACTCCGTTCGCATCTGGGATTCTTGCAGTAATACCACATTTCGTTCAAGTCAGAAGCTCTTACATAGCAACGAACATAGCTACGAAGTCCGACACAAAGAAAATATTTCATCCACACATCTATCAACCAACAGAGCTTCAACCTCGGAAAAGGCAGGCGGTAGCCCTACGTGATATGGGGCAGGTCTGAAGCAGTCTATTTGTAGCGCACTAAGCGAACAGCTCCCTGTCAACCAGTACAGAACTCGGCAGTTGTAGTACAGAGCTTCGAATGTACGCTGTTCAAGTCTAGTTATTGTCACGGACTATCAGCGGAATCGGATGACTTTCAAATCGAAGAAAACCACCACGATGTGCTAGTTGAAAGCGAAAACCCTTCAAACATCTGAAAAGCGCAGAAAGATGGCCAACGTACCTTCAGGCTGACATTGCACTGTTTGACCTACAAGAAGTGATAAGCATCCAAAGCATAACGCGAGTGGTTAATTCAAGACTAATGAGACCGATTTCCACAGGATGTTCCTTGGCCCGACTAAAGGTGAGAATGAAGGTTGATAGCAGTCGGTCAGATAGTGGATAGGGGTGAGCATGCTACTGTTCAAGCTACCCGTCTTTTTATTCCACCTCTTGCGCATTTTCATCACCATCGTCGCACTCTAATTTCTCATTTATCCCCCTGTTGTTGACCTACCTATTCTTTGCCCTCCCCAACCTTGCTTCGATAGCCGCATGTCAATTGGATTCAACTCACACGCAAACGCAAGGCGTCGCTCCAATCCAGTCGACAAGTCCATATCCAGAGAAGCGGACGTCAGTTCATTCGCTTCTGCTTGGAGTCGTCGATCCTCGCTAAGACCGGTATGACTCAAGGTGAGTAATTTGTTACAGACTAGCTGATAGGCAGCACTTGCTCAAACACTAGTGACCCTATCGATCGTCATCCACTGACTATCGGAAACCCGTCTGCAATACTCGATCTCTGTGCTTACCCCGCGATCTCCACAAGCAACACTAGCGGTACTTTCTCATTGCATTTGTCGGGAGATGACGAAGCTCCAAAACCGGTTAAGCATTGCTCCAAGCCTCAAGGTTGAAACCGACATGGTCTATTGGATCCCAGTGAGAAGCCGGATATGCGCCGTCAGACTGGCTGGCTCGTTCAAAGCTTCGAAGCCGCGCGGGGCTACTGGATGTCTGTTTGTCATTGCTGCCTACCCGCCCACAAATTGTAGCACACTCGGTGAACGCTCCTCTTCGTTACAAAAACTTTACGTATATAAGTTGCTTGCTGGAAAACCGTTCCCTAAGGAGCTGCATCTAATCGGCCAACATGGTCTAGATGCCCACAATGATAACCGTGAGCGGTCGTTACACCTGTGTGAAGATACTCGTCTCTTTCACGCAAGCATTAACTTCCGACGCAGCATCCACCGGAGAGTGACAAGGGGCACACCAGCCACGGACGTAAACCGATCAGGTCGCTAGCAGTTACCGCTGGAGAGGATGTCCAAAACTGTTGCTCGATTTGGAGCAGGAGCGTTGACTCCGATTACGCACTTCTACGAGCCGATCTATGGGTGCGTTTCGGCAGACATTCGCAACGACGCTGTGAGCCCATTGATACTTTCCAACTCGCGAAGTCTATTGTTCTGGCGATCTGACTGAGCAAACGCTCGCTGAATACAGTTGAAGATCAGTGGTCGCATATCCGCCAGACGTTATTAGCAGCAGCCATGTCTTGATGCGGCAAATCAAATTGCCAACTTGGACACTGGGTTTCTACGTAGTCTCTGGAACTTCTGGATGATGGCCGACACATTCCGGTTGGAAGCGAACACAACTAGACGCGTAAAGATCTCAGGGCAAAGCCGAATGCTGTTCTGAAGAGAGTCCGCGAAACCCACTGGTCTCATGGTGCATCGGAGATGGTGCCAGCCAATGTATTCGTAAGCATCATAAGTTATCCGACCTGATACGCGAAACGGGCAGCAAGAAAACTAGTGTTAGCGTAACTATGTACAACGAGAATGGCGAGCCAATTCACAGCTTGTCAAAACGCTTGGAGCGATGAGCCGAACAATTTGAAAAGCGATTTAATCAGCCAGTAACCAACTTTCTTATAGGCCGATGGTGGCAATTCTCCCTGGACAGTCCTCTTGGACCCGCTCGCACGCACAGAAGCAAAACATGAGATCAGACTGTTGAAAATGAACAAGGTCCCAGGAGCAGATAGATTTTCTACAGTCATCTTCAAATTCGGGGGACCTGTTCGTGTGGGTGATTGGTACTACTAAAGAAGTTTCGGAAGCAGGATACTGTCCCAACAGAATGGAACCGCACAGTTATAGTCAGAATGCAAAGGGAAGCTCCCATTCGGAATGATGCAATCATAAAGGAATAAGTCTGATCCCAAGTACCTCAGCTGCCTGCCTTCGTAGTTCTTCATAGATCGAGTGACACGCAGAAAAGCTAGATTCGCGAGCAGCAAACCGGGTTTCCTAGAAAGCAAGGCTGTATTGATCGCATCCTCACGAGGCGTCAGCTTTTGGAAAACCGTCATATTTATCGGCGACCCACCCTAGCCGTTTTCCGCGACATCAAAGGTGCCTTCGGTTTGGTGCAGCGATATGCCATTTGTGGCTGTATACTCAGAAATGGTGTGCCCGAAAAATATGTAAGTGTTGTACACGTGTACTACGGGTAGAAAGAGTATGGCAGATTGTTGTCGCCATTCAATGTTTCCAGTGAAGTGAGACAAGGGTACCCGCTGTTACTCTATCTTTTTAGCTGCCATCGGAGAGGTCGTCTAAACTTGGTTTACTGTACACAACCTAAAAAACGTACAGCTGCTCCCAGGTGATCGAGTTAGTGACTTGAAGTATGTCGACGACGTTACCCTCATCTGTGACAGCTACCAAACGTGCTAAGAAGCACTACATGGAATAACATAGGCTGCCAGTCGTTTTGGGCTATATATTGTACCGTCGAAATGGAAAGTGTTTCAAGAGTGGCAGAGACCGCCTTCTGCGCTGACCCTTGGTGGTGATAAGCAAGAAGCCGTAGAGAAATTCAAGTATCTCGGCAGCTATATTAGCGCCAGGAGAATGGAAGATGAGATCACGAAGCGTATAACAAAAGGTCGAGGTGCTTTTGCCAATCTCTGCCACCAGTGGCGCGGGCGCGATAATAAACTCGCCCTGAACAGCAGAGTGCGCCGCCGTGCGTTTAACCCTGCTGTACGGCTGCGAGACCTGGCAAACCAGATCGACAAACATAAAGAGGCTAGTTATGTTCGATCATCCCTGTCTTCGCAGCTTAGGCCATGTCTGATTGGAGAACCACGTGAGCAGTGCACGTGTTCGGTGTTGTGTATTTGGTACTGGAAGAGCGAGTGAAGCGATCACCACCGTTATATGACGCACCAGGTCCCGATGGCTGGGCCACGTGTTGCCCATGACAGCACCAACTCCAGTGACATGTGTTGTTTGCGCGACTGGGTTCTGGATGGAAGAAAGGAGAGGAGGCCAAGCAATGACTTGGTCAAGGTGACCCTCACTTCGAAGTTGGTGTCTCCAGACTGCCGTTTGGTTGCATACGCTTGTTGACATGGGAAAGAGCTGACCTTAGGAGCCTTTTGCGGTGAGTTTCTTTGTATCCTCTCGTTCGGGTTGGCTTTCCCCTCTATCCACGATTTCATGATTTATAGGATACTAAGCAATAAACTGCCAGTTTCTTTGGTTTTTATTTTGTATTGTACTTCGATTAGGTTCATTTATCGTTTTGTATTGCGGCACAATAGCTGGGGTGTTCTTTTAACTTTAGTTAATGCGTAATGAGTTAACATCATAAACGATATTCCCAAAGACGAGTTGCAGCTCCTGAACATCCCCAAGACGAATTAGCCTACCTGCCACCGGGCGGCAGCAGCAGCAGCAGCAGCGTGAATGCTATGTAATCTGACCTATGGACTTCGCACCTGCGATGTGTGGGGGCCTAAGACCCGCGTGCTACTTCACTCGCTCCGCTGTGATCGTTACTGTTCCGGATTTAACGCATCAACACGACTTTTGTGGGGTATCGTGGTCTGTGGTTCTTCACAATGTTTACGTTTCAAGTACTATCGAAATGTAGAGAACTCGTCGAATGAAATATTTATGCCTAGATACCAATGAAGAACATGGCTACCATTTTATCATACATACTGGTCGTCTCAAAAGGAAGTCAGGATAAATTATACTAGTAAACAATCCGTATAAAACTGCTACATGCGATCTGGTGGGTCTGACAGGCCTAATGTTGTGAACACAGGAACACAGATGAGTGTGGATCGTCAATACAACGAAATAAGAAGATGGCATATTCCTCGGTGATGCGAGGCACAGTCCAATTATGTGGTCTGATCAAATTATTGCAGACTACTCGGTAGCTTAATAGCAAGGTTTCACACGCATTCGGAAAGCAACCCCACTGGTTGCTCCCGAGGTGAGTAATAATTCAAACGCTTCAGTATGCCTACCTTGCTGTGCTTCATTCGGAATACACAAGACATCTATCTGGGGAGGTTCTTTCGCTGAGAAGTACAGGCTCTTCAGGTTAGTATATCGGTGAGGCCTGACTACTAAGTCAGATGCGACTGCCACGGCTAGAACAACACTCATTTGTTTTCTTAGAGTACATGAGCACTAGAACTAAAGTTCCCGTTTCTATTCCGTGCAAACAGGGTGCGGTGAGAATCTCGACAGTCTTGTCCATTACCAAGCCCTGTGACACGGACATTAAGAAGCGATTCTGGTATGAAGGTATCGTAAAACAGAAACGTCGACCATGAACAGAATACATTTAGCATCTCTGGAGAAAGTATAAATTCGTGGCAACGAAGTTAACGGTTTTGTTCGATTTGTATCAACCCCTGAATCTCAACGTAGCCCCCGGTTTAAAGCGTCGTGACCACACTGCATGCATAATAAATGAATAGTCCTCCGTTGTTTTTCCTACTAACCCTTGTGACAATCAGCCCGAACACAAATAAATCACAAAATCACATCGAAAGCAAGACTCTGTACTCACATAGCTCTAATATTATTCCATGTGTATTTCAGGTAGTTTCACATAGTATGCATATTAGATCACCACATTTTACAACATTTTACAAATAAAACCGAATCAGCGATGAAAACGACATGAGTACGGGCAAGGGAGTAGAGTGCGTTCTCCACCAGAAAAGAGCCTGTTTTTGTTTGTAGAAAGCCGGACAATTAATCTCGCCTAAAACCGAAACACGGGTGGCAAGTTTAGGAAAGAAAACAACGACCACTACTAAAAAGGAGAAGCGGTTGCAACCCACCTGCGAAACACGGAACAAGTGAGTAGCCCTTCGAGTACAGTGTGGGTGCGTTCCCAGTAGCGGCTACTCCAACGCTCTGCATCAGTTCGGTTAATGAGCCAATCCACGCGTCTGGTATCTGGCTCGGATGACTCAGTCTCCAGTGGTTCACCGTACTCATTCACTGTGGGGATACTTCCTCCAAAATCCAACTGGTCCACCATTGTGATTGCACTAACGGCATTTTGCAAGCCCATTTCGCCCAAGCGATTGTTGAGACGATTTGAATGCAACCTGAGGCCTAGTTGATCTAGCGTTTCCAAAGTGTCTCTAACAACGAAGAACCCAGATAAAGCAATTGTTGCAACATAGACCAATGCGTTACAATTCAAACAAACGTTATGATTTGACCAAAATGAGTGAGCTTAGCTTAACCAACCAAAACCAGTGATTTCGTGAGATAGGTCCGTCTAACACTCGAAATCAGGGGAAAATGCGTGAAAAAGGAATTCAGTCAATACACACTGTTATGTCCTGAAGTCATTGCATCTATAACATACAATAAGAACCCCTGTGCTAATTAAATGATGTAAATGTTAGAAGGGGACGCAAGGGATACCCAAAACATTGTTGGTTCAGATAGCGAAGAGACCTCCTTTCGATTATTCTCATCAGGCCAATACACTAATAAGAAAAACGTATAACCTGGTAAGCTACTGTCATCTAGGCTGAGGACAGCTAAGCCAAGAGTTTGAACGGGGTCAGGAGGTCAGATCGATGCCTAGGTCGATTCACTTACGGTAGGCCCCGCAGCCGATAGTAAGCAGTTAGTATCCGATCCCGAGTAACTGCCGCGTAGCCAGGGTAGGAGGAGCACTTGTTCAAAGGCCCGTTGTTTGCAAAACTCGGGCTAAGTTCGTCTGATGGAAACTGTTTCAGCTATCTGCAAGAGACGCCTTCCGAATGACAGACTCCCAGTCTTGTCCCAATCATACGTCTTGTATCAGTTTACTTGCACCTGTGGTGCAAGATACCTCGGGCATACAACCAGACGTCTGTCAAAATGGATAGCAGTACACTGTCGGCTCGTTATGAAGAGGCGTGGGCAGAAACATAAACAGTGTTATCATAGAACATCTGATCCTAAGCGGACACGAAATGCAAACATCGGATGCGTTGAAGATCTTCTACTCTGTATCACCATGCCATCCGAAGGCATTCGGAAGGCGTCTCTTGCAGGTAGCTGAAGCAGATTCCATCAGACGGACTCAGACCGAGTTTTGCAAGCAACGAGCCCTTGGACAAGTGCTCCTCCTACCCTGGCCATGCGGCAGTTACTCGGGATCGGGCACTAACTGCTTACTATCGGCTGCGGGGCCTACCGTAAGTGAATCGACCTAGGCATCGATCTGACCTCCTGACCCCGTTCAAACTCTTGGCTTAGCTGTCCTTAGCGTAGGTGACAGCATCTTACCAGGTTGTACGTTTTTCTTATTAGTGTAATGACCTGATGAGAATAATCGAAAAGAGACCTCTCCACTATTTGGACTTCTTATCTTAAAATGGGCATTATTCATGAGATACATTGTTGGTCCCTCGCCATTTCACATTAGTTATACTTGGTTCCAAAGCCTATCATATCCTAGCCGAATCACGGGCACATTGGTTGGTCTGACAGTCAGGTTCCATTAGATGCCTCATAAATTCCCTCTGGCCAAGAACACTTCATCTCTGTTTTTACCTGGCCTGAACATTCGGGCCATTACAAGTACGTGAAGAAAACGGACAACACAATATGCTGTTCGCTAATTCAGCCACTGATGCATTAGTAAGCTGACAACTGAGATTCTATTTAACCCTACTTCGACCATTATCCGAGTTAACCTAGTCTGTCGGTTCATCAAGTTGGTGATTTTATCTTTTTGTTACTGTAGTGTCCACGCATCCTGAATACACTACAATGCACCGATCGCCTACTGCCAATGTCCCAGAAAACTTCTTAAAATACAGTGTTGCGTTTTGGAATATCTGCTGTGTTTGGACTGTGACGCGTAATTTCCATTACGATCTCAGTTAACTTTGAAATAGATGTCAATCACTCCGTTTTTGCGGTATCCGCCGCAGGTACTCCAAAACCCAACACTGAATTCCTAGCCGCTGTACCACAGTTTGCTCATGGTTCTCAGTGGCCTAATGATCAACGCGTCAGCATTCAACCATTAGGTTCCGAGTTCCACTCCCAATTCGGGCTACCTCTACCTGATGGGCACAAATGAGCACGAAACCTGTAGCGGAGTGCAGTGTTGGGAGACAGGGTAGCTCCGAAGCAGAAAGCTGTTGTTACGTTGAGACTCAGCGATTGATGCTGTTTGCAAAGCTCCAGCTATATGCTACGGCGAAACAGATGCGCGCGGTTTACATGACTTCAAAAATTGTCGTAGCCCTATTTGTAAGTTCTTGATATTTGTAGCCACGACTTTCACTACCATTCCCTATGCTCTGTACATATTATGATCTAATAGCAATTATTAATTGTCTCCTATTGACAGCTTTCTGTGTTTTAACTCGATGCAAAGTTTCCTTAGGAGAATCCCCAAAGTATTATGCAGTTGTGTAGAAAAAGATTGATTGATGTATCATTCAAGGAAATACCTAATTGTGACACTCACGATACTGGGTGAAACATCTAAAGCAAAATCGGGTCAGGTAAACTGGATAGTGTGCCGCGCTATTGTTAAACAGAACGTCCATTTGTGTTCATTTCGGTGGCCAGTAAGTGGCTTCGAATAAGAGATATGTTTAGAAGCCGAAATATTTGAAGCTTACCCTATTTGAGTGACCAAATCGTGTAGACGCAGCGGCTCATTGCGGGGATACTGGCATGTAAGTGCTGAACCCCGTAGATCCAGAGGGCTGTAAACTGCTTTCGTGTCAGATGGCAACGCCACGGGGCTGGTCGCATGAGTTCGTCCGGAACCAAGATTGCTACGTTCGCCATTTTCGTACGATGTATCCGCATCTTCATCGCTTGCATCTTCGGGTTCCACATCAAGAGTAATGAGAAGACGAGTCAATAGGATGCGAAGGCGTTTAACTTCCTTTATACTCTCTTGTGCCAACTTTGAAACAGTGGACTGAATTAGGCCGGCAGAAGGAAGCACATTTGGGGGAAGCGTCATACCTGATGTGACGGAAGCGGTCGCAACTGCAGTCATTGAATCCACGCACATATGTTTAAATGCGGTACATAACACGCTGAAGATAAAGTTCCAAAATTCGACAATCTCGTTGCGAATGACTAGAAGTGTACAGGTCTGTCATAATGTTGCAGTCACTGAAATATTTTCCACAGAAATCCGGTGTAAGGGACTGTCGAATAGACTCACCGATGCCTTTGCAGGAAACAATGTCTACGTTAAGCTGAAAAACACCAAAGCAATGACTGTACGCCGATAAAACATAGTACTAAATGAAAGGTAAGCGTGGAAATAATGACCGTCTGGAAATCAAGCTTTAGACGTCCGCAGAAGCCATAATGTAGGTTGGCAAAATCCGTCCAAGCACTAAATGTAAGGGTGTAGTACGGGATTAAGAGCATGTGCATTACAGCTAGACTTAACAAGACAGCCACTAGTACCCGGAAAAGTACTGGACGACCATCTTGCCACTTTATATTCCGTTAATGATGCATATGCCGACTGCAATTTGAAGGTCGCTGCATCATGGCCCAGCAATCGCAAATCGTGACCACAGCCAACTGCAGGTGGGATTTACCCAGTCTGCACCTTAAATACTAGGGAACGCTTGGTTATAGGCTGATGGTAGCAAACAATTGAGCACCGGGTGGCACTCCCCCATCATCAGAAACAACGCATGGAGCTCGTGCTCTACGCTACTCAAGCTGTGAGCTCACAACACCGGAACTAAGTCTGAATCCTAACCACTGATCTCGGGCATAAATTGCTCGGAAAGCACTCTGGAAGTGCCGCCCAGTGTAGTTCAGTAAGGCACACGTCTCGTTGCGACGCAGTGATGTCGAAGAATAAGTGCCCCACTTACACTTGTTTTGGCTTCTCACTGTTAGGACTTCGGTTCAACGAGCTGATTGTTTGTTCGACTTTGACCGGGCACTGCGCTGTTTGTTTCGTTTTCTTATCCTCAGCCTCCAGTTAATTGATGGCATGGCATTTGATTATTGTACCTCAGCGTTCAGACCGCAGTTGACGCACTGTAAAGAGAGACGTCAATGGTATATCGGTGGTTTGTAACAACGTTTCAGCCTATTGCACAAAAAAGCGGTTGAACGCCATCTTGGGTAATGCCAGTGCATCCAAACCCACAGAAAAATATCACATAGTTCCTAATACAGGTAAAGTCCTGGTGGAAAAATAGGTTCGCCAAGAGGGCAAAATATTAACCTTGAGAATGGTACGCGTTTTCAATCCGCTACACACAAGCCTCAACACGGTGGTGTGTAACACCAATGAAAAAAAAAAGCTAGAATAAGCTTTGTACACCCAAATGAGTGAACTAGCTATCTTCTACACTACTGACCGCGAATATACAAAAAACATTACCAGGAAAGCGAAAAATGTACGAAAAAAGTATATACACGCCACTACAGCAAACGGTTTCGCAGCACTTCGATGACTCGCTGGGTCAGCAAGCGAGCGTGACCTGTGCGGTAACATAGAACTATGATATGCTGCGGTGTGATGAAGAAACGTATAAAGCTTCTGACAGATGAAAATGGTCATTTAGAACTCTAAAAGAAATAGTGATACATGCATCGAAGCGCTTACGAACAAGATCAACTGGATATTCCAAATTGAATCGCTGCACCTTGTACTAAAGTTCACAGATGCTTAGTAAGGTGCAAACCATTTAAAGACCATAGAATAATCCGAAAATAATATAGAATATAGGGAAGAATGTATACATCAAAAAATTTGAGCTTAAGAGTATAGAAGATAGTTAACATGTAAATTAAAATAAGTTCTGGGATAAAAAGAAATAATATACTTGACTTTAAATGAGGCAGATATAACCTGTTCGCTTAGATACAAAGGGAAGAAAGCACCTAAAGTGTCTAGCAACTTGTTAATACAAAGAAGGGAATAAAACATTGAGATTGAAAGTAAGGGACCGGAACAAGGACGGTTTCACAAGCCTTGCTGAGGCGTCGAAAGGGGTTAAATTTTTGAAGTAATACTACCAAGAACAACGCCAGTAGATCAGCAAAAGAAGAGGAAATTGTGTGGCAGGAACAATAACTCAGTAGAGGGAAAAGAAAAGAATAGAGCATATCTCTCCACAGAAACTATAATCAGCTGGAACTATAGGGACTTTTGGCAAAGTGAATGTGATCAGTAAAATAGTCACTTATTAACCAGTATACACTTGAGTGGAGACTAGCACGAGACAGAGTGAGTCGCGTAGACCTATCAAAATTTTCGAAAGCGTCCGAACAGTTAAGGAGCAAAAGCCCAACTATTTTTTATATTTTGTCTAGCGCCGTTGCAGTGGAAAGCACAAGATACGACATTGATTCTAGTGAAAATAGCAGATCTGTAGGGCAACTAAGAGACATCATCCGAATGACAGCTCATAAACATCAAAGGAAGGGTTAGCCTTAACAGGAGTTTCAACAGCACAAGTGTGCGTCAGTTTAGTTGGGTTCAGTCAAGCAAGCATAACGCGTGACCAGACTGCGGGCGGATCCAATCTCCGCGGCTCGCATCGCAGAGATACAATGAATAACAAAGGTGAGAATGTGTAGTAGAAGGTCAACAAGATACAAAAAGAAGGGTGCAAAGGAAAAAGTAAAACCAAGCTGGGTGGAATATTATTAGATTATTATTTATTCACAAGTCTAAACAGACAAATGTGTCATCCGAACCGTGGTGGTATGGAAAGAAGGATGTAATGTTCAACGAGAGAGTCAAACGTTAGAAAAATGTTTTGTTAAACATTTTAAAGCACAAGATGAAGAGATGGTCGAACAGCATTGACGCCATTGACTCCTATTGCGGGCCATATCCTCCAAGACTTCCAACCATTGGGAATCCGCCTCACTTGGTCCCCAGCCTGGAAGACGCACAGATCCAACTGACGCTAGACACGAAGTTAGGATCTTCATACTCCTTTTCCAGGTCATCAATTATCCGCCGCGGCTCTTTTTCCATTCGCGTCCAGGAAGTGCAAATAATGTGCGACGTGGAAGGCGGTGGGCCGGCATGCGCAGTACGTGAATGAGCCAACGCAATTGGTGTTGGGTGATTACGCTCTGGAGACCAGGACTGTCCGCTCCCATGATTCTGCTTCTAACTTCGTGTTGCTCATATGGTACTGACACCATACTCGAACAAACGAACGCAAGCAGCGGTTGTCGAAGGTAAAAAGTCGTCTCAAATCTTCAGATCGAACAGGCTAGGTCTCGCAACCGTACAGTAGGGCAGCACGGACTGTGGCATTGTACACTCGGTCTTTGAGCTTGAAACTGACATCGCGACGACGCCACAAGTGTCTCAGGTTAGTAAATGCAAGACGAGCTTTGGCAATTCGTTGTGAAATTTCATCGCCAATACCGCCACCAGCCGTAATACAACTCCCGAGGTAAGTAAAGCTGTTAACGAGCTCCAGGCTGACACCCGAAATGCTGAGCGTAGGCACAGGAGCCTACCAATCCTGGAACAAAGCTTTACACTTGGATGGAGCAAAATATAGACCGTGGTTAGATGCCTCTATCGCTAAGCGCACCGGAATGTTTTGAACAACCTGCGAATCGTTCCCCAGCAAAGCGATGTCATCACCATAGTCCAGGTCAACGACTCTACTCCCGGGTAGAAGCTCAACACCGCAGCTCTGGGCTCCTTCCAATGTGTAATGTAGGACATCTTCAATGGCAAAGTCAAAGAGGAATGGCGAGATAGGACAACCTTGACGCACTCCACTGTTAACAAGAAAGGAAAAAGAAAGCCTTCCATAAGCTCTAACTTTGCCAGACGTGTGACCATACAGCCCTTTCAAGAGTATGATAAACTCGTCCGGAATGCCGTTCCGTAGCAGACAGTTCCACAGTGACGGCCTATCTACTGAATCAAATGCGGCTCGGATATCCAAAAACACCACCATTGTTGGTCTTCGGTGGACATGATGATGTTCGAGAACTTGACGCAAGGTGAAAATTTGGTCAATGCAACCACGGCCAGAATGAAAGCCAGGCTGTTCGTCACGACACAGACTGTCGCGGGTAACTAATAGCCTAAGCAGCAGAATGGACACAAAGAGCTTGGACGCGACAGAGATAAGTGAGATTCCTCTGTAGTTGGTGCATTCACTACGAGAGCCATTATTGTGGATCGGAACCACAACAGATTCTCCCCATGAGTTAGGAACCTTCTCATCGCTCCATACTTTTGTGAACAGTGATAGAATTTCGGTGACAACTAAGTTCCCCCCCCCCCCATCTTTGAATAAGGCCGGAGGAAGACCGTCATGGCCGGGAGCTTTGTGGCGATCAGAGCCTGGATTTATCTCCGTATTTCTGCTTCAGTGGGAGGATCTATGCAGACTGACCAAGGATCACATGATGGCAGTGGATGTGTAACCGGAGGTTAGGTTGGGCAATGAAACTGTAGAGCAAAGTGCTCTGCCCAACGATCCAAGTGTCTGCGTAGGTTGGTGATTTTTGTACCGTCTGACTGATGGTCAGAAATTCACGTCCGGTGAATCTGATGAGATAAAACAACATGTGGCTATTACCAGCAGACGCAGCAACTTCCATTTCTTTGGCCTTTTTAGACCACCAGGGTTCACGATCACGGCGAAGACTCACTTTCAGTTGTTAGGAATATTAACAACTAAAGTAAAAATCCGAATGCAGGAACGCCACTGATTGCATCATGCCCGATAGGGTACCCAACGAATGATGTGGACCATCACGAGGCACACACCAAACTGATCGTGGGTTCGAATCCGGCAGGTGCGCGCTACTTACGAGTTCCAATAGCACGAAACGGCCGTCTAGCGCTTTCCTGGATCTGTGGTTGCTGTCTGTCTGTGTCTAACTGCGACGTATCTACACAAAAACCCAATAAATCCCCCTACTATTTACAAAGGATAAAGACTCAGTCATTTCCTGTATGCAATTATGCTGACACATCGATTGGCCACTTCGCAGTTCCACCCAACCATGTGCGGTGAGAGAATACAATGCACGCCGAAGGTGATCCATGAATATAAGGACATTATTTAGCCAAAATGAGTGGTTCATGCGTAATGGACACTCGGGTGAGACAGCAGAAACTTTTGTCAAGTGTGAAGCGATAGATCTTAGCATTGCACGCTCCGTGCGCCCACCAGATGTGTGTGTTACTCCACAGGCACTAATGATAAATGACGAGCAGTCATTTAACTTTTCAGCACGATGGTTGGAGCGGAACTCTGATCCGTGGAGAAACATCGGTCTTATCACGGCGTTGTACACCCTAGTTTGATATCCCGCCGTTTATGGATTGTTCGGTCTCTGAAAAGGCGCACGGGGCTTTCCTGACACGCAAAGTAACCTGCTCAGTGATGTGAATACCACAGGTGGCAGAAATATCAAATAAATCGACTGACCACTTCCAACGGCTACACGATGGTCGCAAAAATCGACGGTTTGTCCGCTCAGTCCAGCAATAATACTTCGCATACCGCAGGTGTAAAGCACATGTTAAGATATGCAGCGCTGCACGATAGTGCTTGCATAGCCGCTTAGTCCGGTTCAAAGAGAGTTACTTCGTTCGCATAGTCAATGTTGGTCGGTCGATCAGCTTACATAAATTCCACTTCAAAGGAGTCTGGGAAAAAGGTCTTATCATCATTAAACATTAGCTGAAGTGAGAAACACACTCCGATTATTAAGCTACAATACAAAAAGATAGACTTAAAAAGTAAGGTATTAAACATAGTAGAACAAAAAAACAGGTAATATACTGCTTACTAAAATACTATATTTCAATAGTGATCGTGATAAAAGGAGGGAGATAAGGGGGAAGAGACAAAGAAACCTAAGATCGAAAGGCGCTGAGGTCGGACCCGCGCCATGACAACAAGTGTATCCAAACAAACGTGTTCATCGTCTCATTTGGTCCCCAGCCCGGTGGTCCGGAGAAACCAACCAACGCCAACTTCGAAGTGAGAGTCACCATGACCAAGTCATCTCTTGGCCTCCCCTCCTTTCTTC